GCCTTGGGACAGGGGAATGGCAGCCGCGGCGCACAGCGGGCGATTAGGTGTCGGAGTGGTAATTCCATGAAGTGTTTTTGGGGAGCAAATGAAATTTGGCTTTTTAGCTCACTTACAGCAAGCGAAACGAGTAGTTCGATTCAGACGGTGTGTCGTTAGTGCGAGTCTCAAACTGTTGTGGTTGATTTTTATATTCCTCCTCCTCTCTCTGCCCCGCAGTACTCTCCGCGTCCAGCGACAAAAGACTGTATATGGGGGAGATCCAGTGAAGCCAGCGAGGCAATGGTGGGATTTGTGCCCTCGTGCTCCTTGGTTTTTACAGAGTCGGACTGGCTTCCTTCTCGCCGGTGCCAGCCCCTCTCACGCTTGTGACAGTGGGAAAAACGTCGAAGCAGCTCGCTGAGACAAGCCACCCCCTCACAGCCCGTGACGTCTGCGTGGTCTCGCTGTACAGCTTTTTTTTCCACTCCCTCTTCTTTGGGGAGGAAGGAAAATTTGGGATTGAACAAGATTTTCATTTTGGCTGTACCACCGACTATTAAACCCTTACCCAGATCACTTGAAATTGGTAACATTTGTTTAAATTCCATATGTGGCTTGTATATTCCCTGTCGAGTTTCTCTTGTTGTTGTTTTTATACGGTCAAAACTGAAATAGATAGCTTTTTACAAGAACTGTGTGGATGGAATTTATTGTTCTGTTTTACTTTTTTATCGTACAATGCTAAATCAAGGCCCTCACTCATATATAACCCGGGGAAACCATAGATGTTGGCTTCAGAAAAGCAGCTTTATTTTTTATTCATGGCAATAAAAATGACCACACTTGAAATAATTATTGGGTTACTGCTGAATCCTATTTTCATGTTTTGAGTAAAATCCAACCTCCTGCTATAAATAAATGTGAAGGGAGTGAGTTTTCTGTGACAGGCACAGTGTGTTCAGTGCTCAGCATAGAGGAACCAGACTGGCGGCGTGTCCCCTCTCCCTGAACGCTGGCAGGAGCGTGGTCCGAGGTGGTGGCAGGTCCTCGAGCAGGTTAGATCCGTACTGCACGTACCTGTGGCTGACTGCTGGGACCTGCCTCAGCTTCTGCCAGATCTTACCCTACAGCTGTGGACCCCCTGCCTGCCTGACTGTTGCCCCCCAGCCCCAGAGTTCAGGCCAGAGGGCTGCCCTGACGGTTTTTTTGCTGAGGCTGGTCTTTGTGAGAACACACAAGGCGAGTTCCCAGTGCCACAGGTCGTTGTCTGGTGTTATTTAACTTGCCATGAAGAGTCCGTGCTGCGTTTCTCTTCTGAATTTGTCCACCTCAGTTTTCATCCTTTTCCCTCCCCCCCGGCCTTTTTTCCCCTCGTTTGCTCCTTTTGTTCAAGTTGTATCAGGCTTTACTCACCTCTCACCTTCTGCCCCATCCCAGAGGAGGCTGCCCAAGGGCTGGGACGTTGTAGCGTGGACAGGGGATGCTCCCACCCAGCGGTGCTGTGGAACTGTGGCCAGCGTTTCACCAGGAGGAATCTGCTGCAGCCTGCAGGTGTTTAAGAGCTGGGAAATGGGAACGGTTTGTGCAGTGAAAAGGGAAGAAGCGCAGGGTCCCCTTGAGATGGTGTCTTGCCCTGCTTTTCTGCTGTGGGCAGAAGAGAAAAGCTGGAGGATGGCACGCTTGGAGCCAAAACAGACCCATCACCTTTTAAGGAGGCAGGGAAACATGGTTGCATGCTCCCTGGGAGACACGGTGATGTCTCCTGGGGTGTGTGGCAGTGGCCCTGGTCCGTGTCACCTGGGATGGTTCCTGTCCTGGTGCTGTGTCCTTCTGTCAGCAGATGGCTGCAGCTGCCCGTCCCTCGGGGCTGCGGGACCTCGATCACCGCAGTGTTCCTCTGGAAGCCCCTGAGGCTGGAGCAGAGCTGATCTCGGGTCCTGCTTCCTAAATCATCACGGTCAAAGTGACTTTGGGTGCAGACGGGGATGGGCTGGAGAGCACAGAGGGGTTTAACTGTTGGAAAATGATTGACCCCAACTGTCCCTCCTTCACTGACCCTCTTCATCCATGGGTTGATGAATTTGAGCATCAGGTCTGAACACTCAGACTCAGCAGAGCTCCAGTTTCAAATCCAGGGAACATTCACCAGTCTGGTCCTG